GGAGATCCCCGTGGGGGTGACACAGTGTAGGCTTTGGGGATGATCTGGACAGGTGGGGCGCTCAGGGGAGGGGGCTGGGACTGGGGCACAGGGACATAGGGAGTGAGGCCTCAAGAGTAAGTTATTGGGGAGATGGCTTTGAGCAGGAAGGCATAGGAGACCTTAGCTTCGAACCCTATCTTCCCCGGTGAAGAAGGCGGGAACCCGAGCCTGGAAAGGGAGCAGAAGAGCCAGAAAGACTTTAAGACTAGAAGGGCCAGGAAATGGGGTCTTTAGGAAAAGAAAGTAAGAGAATTAAGAAGCAGGTTGAGGTGGTGAAACCAACAACCCTAATGCGGTTCACTTAAGAGTTCTGCTAGGAAAAACCTAACTTTGCCATTAGGTTGTTGGAAAAGTCGTGACGCATTTTTGCTTGAAAAACAGAAAAACCTACGTCACGACTTTTCCGGCAACCCATTAGTTCTGCTTTTGACTACATTTCCCATCACACGCTCTTTCAGCCAAGTAACACCTGTCCAGGTTGTTTAACTTGGAGACATTACTAGACGCATTGCTTCCTGTTCTCTGCAGTTACACTCTTTGCAGGTGGGAAAGCCCCAGGGTGTCTGCCCTCAGCGTAGACATGTTCCCTGCAAAGCACCCTTTCTATTCCTGAGGGTCTTGAGGGTCTATTCTTGAGGGTCTGCTGTTATATGGGCACATGGCATCTGTACTAACTGTGTGACCCTGGCCCTCAAGAAACTCAAAAGTCTGGTGAAGATCTGGAGGAGGAAACAGACAAGTGGAATTGTTGTGATACAGTGCCCTAGACATCAAGGTGCACCCAGAGCACCTGACCCAAGCCTTAGATGGGAGAATCAGGGGAAAAGTGTTCTGAAGAAGGTGACTTTCATGACTGACAGAAAAAAAAAAAAAGAGGGTTTTGCTCTCCACTTTTGGGGGTGGCAGGAACTGAGCATGGAACTGTGAATATTTATGGTATAGGGGCCCAGGCCCCGGGTAGCAAGTGTGGAGGAACCGGGAAGAGCCAGAGGGGGCCGCAGAGGTACAACAAGCGCTAGGTCAGAGAGTCGGGGTACCCTTGTGGATCTTGGGGAGTCCTAGCTTATAAGTCCGGGTCAAAACTCAGAGTGTGAAACTAGAATCAGCAGAGGCCCTGGGAGACCTGGGCCCGGCCACTGTTCAGCATGGCTTCCTGGAATGCTTCTTCACAGTCTACAAGTCCAAGTTAAGCTCACAGTTAAGCTGCATTGAGATGCTGTTTCATGATATTTTTTAAAAGTTTTAATAAAGAGAAAGAAAATAGCTGGTTTCCTTACCCAAAGGTAGTCAAGGGTTTTCCTAGCTACTGCCTCGGGTCACCTAATTTCTGGAGATCTTACCAGACTTAAATCTTATGCTGTAAACAAAGCAAGGAAAGCGTTTTCATTGCATATTTATTTTTAATAAGAGCAAATTTTGTTTGTTAAATAGCCATTGAGTTAAGAACATTTGCCAAGGTAAGGAGGGAAAACAAAAAGGCGTTTAGCATGCAAGAACCTTTCCCACCTAAATATCTAGGGGAAGCTTCTAAGGCAGCCCCCCTCCATATAATGCTGCTAATCCACAGATACACTCTTGTGCTATGTTTCAACAAAGCTTCTGAATTGTAAGCAAAAAGGCAAGCAAATGTTGTGACTGTAAACTTGTGTAGGGACTTGACCCCTTTGCCCCCCAGGTTTCTCCCTGCTCTTTGCTACTAGGAAACCAAGAATATTTCTGGCAGTACCAGGCCCCCGCCCCCATCAGTGAAAGCTCAGCTTCAGTCGGACAGCCCTTCCCTTGGCTCATAGGCACAACCCTGAGATTGGAATGTCCCAAAGAATTTTGTCAACACTAAAAAAAAGAGTAACATTTAGGTAAAACATGCAGAAAACTAGAGTCCAGGTTTCTTCTCTCTGCCATAGCTCCCCCTTCCCCCTCTTCCACCCTGTTCCTTCCACCCTACCTGAATACCTTTCTTCCAGCTGCCTGGCATAGCTCCAACAGGTGTCACCTGACTGCCCTGGGCAAGAGAGCTGGTGGCTTTGACCTCCTCACAGTTGTCAGGATCAAGGAGAAATGCCAGCTGTGTGGTTACCGGGAGCCCCACTCAGCCTGGGTTTCCAGGCCAAGGAACAGGAAGCAGCCAGGCCTCTGCCAGATCAGTAGTGAGGCAGAAATGGGGTCCTGCTGGGCCCTGCATTGACAACCACAGATTATCCTTCCTCCTTGGGTCTCCCCCAACTTGCCTCTGCAGCCTCCCCCCCCACCTCCCCCCAAACCACCTGGCTCATCCTCATGGGATGAGGATACTTTGCAGGATTGCTCTCCCTAGCTCAAACCTAGTCCTGCCGGCCGGCCGAGGAATATCAGACGCCTCAACCGTATTCTACAAAGCCGTCGTGCTCTGGTTTCTCTTTTTGTCCCCAGCATCACTCCCCAGCTCCCCATCAAGCCTCTGTACCCCACGTTCACCCATGCCATGCTCAGCTCTGCCGCTGCCTGTGTGGGACACCTTCCTTCGGAACTCCACCTCTGCAAAGCCTTCATGTCTGTAAGGCCTAGCAGTCTTCAAAGCTGCCTCTGACCTCTGCAGCTCCTCTTCTGAACCTTTCTTCAGAGCCCTAACTCTGATGCCGGTCGTTTGTTCCTCTGATTTGTAGCCAAAGCCATTGCATGTGCCCCAACTTAGGCCTTATGCTGTGATGGGTGTGTGTTACTGTCTGCTGTGTTTTTCAGGTCCTCAAGAGAAGGAGCCCTATCTTCACCTTTTATATTATCATCTCTAGTTAAATATCCTCTGCTTGTAAATATCCTCTGGAGTAAATTGAAGTATAAACGTACAGCTGACCCTGGTACAATGCTTGGGCTGGAGGCACCAACCCCCTCGAAGTTGAAAATCTATATATAACTTTTGACTCCCCCAAAGCTTACCAGTTGCCCCCCGGTACTTGCATGGAGATTGGTTTGAGGACCCCCCAAAACCTTAGATACTCAAGTTCTTACAGTCAACCCTCTGTATTTGAGGGTTCAGTATCTTCAGGTTAACCAGCACTAGAAGTTGGGTGAATTCATGAATGTAGGACCCATGGATAGGAATGTAGGGCCCAATTATATTTATTGAAATAAACCCATTTATAACTGCACCTACACAGCTTAAACCCTGTTGTTTCAAAGGGAAGCATTTTAATGGATATTTTATTCATTAAAACCTATAAAAGCAGACCTTCAACTGGGTCCAGTTGTCTCTTGTGCTACCACCATCTTCGGTGACTCTGTAGAAGGGGTAGGAACATAGAAATGAAAACCTAAAGCCACAGCTCTGTGCATGACGTCGGAGGGGCCAGACCGCAGGGCAAAGCTGCCCAGATCGCATGCTCGTGTGTGTGTGCAGAGGCTGCGGCTTCACTCACAGATAATCTGAGTTTCTGCTGACGGGGTTGCTGAGGGGACAGACTGGCTGACAGGCTAACAGTAATTACATTTGGAGCAACTCTGGCTTAGGTTTCTTTGCCACGAAGTATGTGTGCATTTCCTGAAAGATAGTTTGGATTTGGTAACTGAAAACCTGCCTTGATGTTTGTGCCTCATAAAAATTAGGATTTTATGAGAAGCAGTAGATAAGAACAGGTTCTTTCTTTCCCTGAAAGCAGGACTTGGGTTTTGTTTTGGTTATTCTGTTAGGACCTGACATCAAACAGTGTTGAAGCAGGGGCAGCAGAGAGGATGAGAACAGCCAGAGAGATGCATTTGCAATGGTTAGCCTGCTTCTGTGGCAGGAAGGCAGGAGAATATTCGACTCCACCCCTCTGAGGCCTGAACACCAGCCACCAAGCACAGGAGAGAAACAGACTGGGCTCTCTGCACTGTTCCCCAGCCCCATGTACCACTGTCACCAACCGTCATTGCTGCGGTAGAAGCCTAAATAATCTTGTCCTGCTGTGCAGCCCTAATCCATCCCCTGCCGCGTCATTGCCCACGGGTAAAGCTTGAAGCCTCTCCGAGGCTCACTGAGCAAATCGGGATTCAGCTCCTGCTCCCCTCCCCACCTCGCTGCACTCCAGCTATTTCAAAAGATGTTCTGAATTCCAGGAGTGCGCTCCATTTTCTTGCCTGCAGGCCTCTTCATGTGTTCCTCCTTGGAATTCCTGTTCCAAAGTGCTCTTTCCTTGTCTAAGATCTCTTCATCCTTCAGCAATCACTTTACCCATCACTTTCTTAGGAAACTCTCCTGGGCCACTCCACGCACTGGGCCATGGCTCCAGTGCTCCCACAGTAATCCTGAGTCTTGTCTTCAAAGCGTGTGCGCTTTGAAGCTTGAAACTCCAGAGGCTTATGTCCCCAGGTCCTGGCCCATAGGAGATGCTTGAACAGTATTTATGTGAAATAAATGGCCAGTGATGAATGGCCTCCCGTCCTCCCTCCCCTCCCCCTTCAACTATGCATCTACATTTTAACCAGCGCCTTAAGAAGCCCAATACCATGACCTGGATTGGATCACTACCAGCGATGGAAGAGACTAAGAACACGTCTAGTGCAGTTGCCCCAAGCACTGTGCAGCAAATCACCTAAAGAGTTAAAAAAAAAAATAGAGCACCCCAGGTATGGCTCCATGCGGCAACCAGAAAGCTTGATTTGTAAAACTCCCCCAGAAGATTCTGAGACAGACATCTAACTAATATTTGGGAATGTGGCTTTAGTTTAGTTTCCTTTGTTTGCAAATGGGAAGACCAAGGCCAGGGGTGGGTGAGAGAGGTACCCAAGGTCGCCCAGCCTGGAACAGTGCATCTTCTGATCGCCATCGCAGCATTGGGAGCCTTAGTCACTGTGGCCAGGAGGAGCTGAGAAGTGACTTTCAAGAGAGAAAACTCATCACCCTGGCAAAGTGCTGCCCAGGTCACCTTGGCAACCTCCCCAGTCCATTTGGTGGCCAACGCTGCCCCTGACCCAGTAGTGACTTTCTGTTTCTCTTCAGAAAAGAAACGGACAAAGGTACCTGAGCAGACCACACCTCCCGTTCAAGAAGAGCCTGAACCCGTGAGCAATGTCCTGCAAGGAGATGACATTCTCGCCTTAGCCATTAAGAGTGAAGACTTGAAGAAGGTAAGGGTGAAGCCTCGGGACTTCTCACTGAGGGGCTTTCCTGCCCACGAGTGGTCTAGAACTGACTCCAGGGCAGTGTCCAGCACCGGCCCACTCGGGGGGAGCCCAAATCCATGCATATATCCACGGCACGTGGATTCCGTGGCGTCTAAAGGGATTTACTGTGTTCTTTTAACATTTCCATGGAACTACAGAGAAGTACACTGCTTCCCGTGTAGGAAAGTGCCATTGTCTCTTTCACAGAAGGGACATGAGTTTAAGAAGCAAAATTATAGATGTGGCTAAACCCTGACCCTCTACTTTACCCGAGAGTCAGCCCCTTCTCACCTGAATTGTCCAGTGGCATAAGATGATCTTGGGTTTTCCCTCTAGGACATCACCAAGTCTCATTTTTGTGCAGAGGGCATTTCCTCAACAGCACATATGGGCAGAGCTGGAAAACAGATTTGTCCACCTCCAGGAATTCCACCAAGAATCAGAACAAAAAAGCTGGTGGTTTCCCTCAAGTGCAATGCTCCTCTGTTTTGTTTCTTTTTAGCAACACATTCCTCGTCTTAAAGAAGGCAAACCTATCACTACCCAGAAATTTATCATCCGTAAATTCAAACCCAAGGACTCTCGGAGGACGGTCTGCCACCTAGTAGCACATCCAGCTACTCCAGATGCAGCCACAAAGCCCCTGGACTACTCTGGTAGGCCTCGTCTGCACCCTGGCCTTGCTGGCCTCTGGATTCATGCGTCAGCTCTGACAGTGAGAAAGTAACCCCTCCACACACTCCTTTACGTCACAGCTTCAGATGGCCTTCCCCCTTTCCTCCCCGACCCCGCCCTGCTCCTAGGTCTTACTGACAGATTCCGAGGCACTGATCAGATCCTGCCCCATCACATCTTGGGGAGTCTCCAGGACTTCAAGAGAATTGCAGTTGCTCGAGGGAACACTGAGGTTTGTTTGTACAGCGCTACCCAGACGAGCAAAGTCACTGAAGTCATTTCAGTGAGTCCTTTCACTCCAGGGCTGGAGGTAAACAGGGTGTCCAATCTCTGGAACCTGGAGTCTGAGATGATAAGTGACCTGCTCCCCCAAATAGTGAAGCCGACTTAAGCTAGCTTCAGCTGAAGTCAGGAATCTATCATAAGGACAGAGGGGCGCCCCTGGAGCCCAAAGGCCAGAGTAGATCTGGCTCTGATTAGCCTGAGCCCAGAAAGGCATCAGGCCCAGCACCCACGCCGCCTCACCGCCCTTATCCCTCCACACACTGCTGCCCACTCCCTTCCAGCCCCAGTGCACGCCTCGAGGACGGTGGTTTCCTACAGCTTGAGGGCCACATGAGAGGTCTGACTGTCTGCCCCACGTTTCCCATCATGCAGAGCCTCTCTTGCTCGGTTTCTTCACTTCCCTGGTTCCAGAAAAGACTGATGGTGTTTAGAGACCTTGGGTCGTAGAACTACGGCCCAGTCTCTCTCAGGGGAAGAAGTCAGCATCCCTGTGAGGACAGCCACACTACAAGATGCCGGCTCTGATCTTAGAATAAAGGTTCCCATTCTGGGGGGCACGGAATAACAGTGGTTTCCGACGAGACCCCCCAGTTCTGTGATTTGTCTCTGTCACCCGCCACCTTCAAGTCCCGACGAGGGGGGTTGATAGCAGAGTGGGAGGACAGCAGGACTTACGTCTGGAAAAGTCCCTTCTGCCTTCTCCACTGCCCCCCCACGAGCCCTTCTCACTGTCCACCCCCTATTGCTCCCCATTGTCCTTCAGCTGGCTGAGCTGATACACACCCCGCCCAGCCTGATGACCCTCATCTCAGCTAAAGAAGAGCCACAGCAGAAAGCGCCAGAAAGCGCGAAGACACCTCCCCAGGCCCTGTCTCCACAGCACAACTTTCTGAGGAACTGGCAGCACAACATAGCCCTGCGGAAGAGGCAGCAGCTGGCGCTCAGTGGTGAGCCGGGGCGCCCGCTGCCTCATCTGACCAGGGCTCCCCTGTGCAGAGCCTGGACTCAGGCTGACCCCATGGCGCAGCCCACTCCCAAGTGCTTCTGGCTCTGGAGCCTTCCAGGGTCTGAGCTCCGCCCTGTGAGTTGGGCTCCTTGAAGCAGCTGAGTGTCAGGCCCCTGCCTGTTCCCAGTCCGCGGAGGGGCTGCTTTCCTGTCTCTCTCTAGAACGCCTGAAGAAGCCGGTCAGCGACCTGCTGATGCACGCTGGGGATACCTACCGGCAGATCCAGGAGGAGCGGGAGCTCCTCGACCGGGCGCTTCCAACACAGCATGACGGGAAGGCAAGCACCGGGCTCCCAGGTGCCCTGTGCAGAGGGGCCTGGACACAGGGGGCCTGGCTCAGGTTGCACAGATGGGGAAAGAGCTACCCGTTGCAGAGCATGGCTGAGGCCTCAAGGCCTTCACTAGGTTTTTGGTCCTGGTCCTGAGCCTCTGGGAACGATCAGGTAAGTGAGGGAGCCAGTGGCGTCACTGGTGGTCAGTCTGTGGAGAGAGCTCTCATGGGGGGGGCCCTCCTTGGTGGCCCAAGGGGTATGTGCAGCACTCTGAAGCTCTCCGCACCACTGCAGCACCATTCTGATCCTGGCCAGGGAGGTGACCCTCCTGTCTCACCCGCTGCTCCCCTTAGCAGTGTATTTTAGTGGGTCCGCCTGTGCTGCTCCCTGCTCTTATGTCTGGTGAATCGTCTCACCCCCTGTACTGCTGGCCTGCACCCCAGTCCTTGCACGCATAGATAAATAAAAATAAATCTCTAAAAGAAAAGAAAGCGATCACACGTCCTGAGTGATTAGAACAGTCTTAGTGTTGTCTGCTGAAAGCTGGACTCCAGCTTCGGACAACCCAGGGCACCATGCTGTGTGCTGGGACGTCAGTGCGGTACCTGTGCCAACACACCGTCTGTCTGGGGCAGGGAAAAGGGGCACCCTGAAGACAAGAAAGTGGGTTCATCGGTCCTGCTGTCACAGCAGCATGAACCTTCCAGGGGGAGCACGTGTCGTCTGTGGTGCTTGTCTCCCGGCCTCCAGCAAGCACTCCCGAAGGTGTTCTGACTCACCTGTCCTTTCTTGCCAGGTGAGCAATGAGACTACTGGGTTCTGGAGTCGACTGGAGTATTTGGGAGATGAAATGACGGGTCTGGTCATGACAAAGACCAAAACTCAGCGTGGCCTCAGGGAACCCATCACTCACATCAGAAAGCCCAGCTCCATCCAGGAGGAGACCGGTGAGGAGTGGCTGCAATGACGTGGCAGCTTGTGATTGGCCTGGGAAATTTGGCTCTGGGGTGAGACATACTTAGGGGTCCATCCCACCCTGCGGAGGGCCCTCCCCTGACCAGTAAGCCCATGACCGACATGGTAGGAGGAGTGGGTGGGAGGCTAGGCCGGCCGGCAGGCTCATCCGCTGGTGGGCAGCCAGGAAGCTCTGGCTCTCGGGTCCACCTGATGGAGGTGTGCTAGGTGTAAACCCTACACTGGCTTTCAGACACTAGTATGAAAAGAAACTATATTTTCATAATGATGTATATTAATACAAGCCCATCCATTTCTTCCTTTTTAAAGGTGGCAGAACATTAGAACAGTTGATGCATATGCAGCTTGTGTCTGGTTGTCTTGCTGCTTCTTTAGGGCAGTATCGCCTTACAGGCTGCCAGACCTCCTGGGCTTAGATCCCAGCTGTACTGGGTTTATGAATAACACCAGTAAGTTATTTAATCTCCTGGCCCTCACTTTGCCCATCTGTAAAATACTCATGGAGTGGTGCGTGGGTTGGATGAGACACCATGTGTGTAAGAGGTTACACAATAAAAGAGCGGCTGTTGTTATTTTTATTCTAATCCAAAGATCTGATGGCTTATAGGCTAATTGCAAACAGGGGCAATAGTTTGCCCTTCCAATGGGGCAGGACAGTAGGGGCACAGGGGAACGGGGCCCCCCCCTAGTCCTTGAGAGGAGTGGGGGATGGGGAGTGGCAGCTGTCCATGCTGAGGGTCCCTGGCCTGCTCTAGGCGTGCTGGCCCAGAGTGACGCCGGGTACCGCTACACCTGGGATCGGAGTCTGTTTCTCATCCACCGACGCAAGGAACTACAGAGCATCATGGCGGAGCTGGACTTCAGCCAGCAGGTTGGCGATGCCTCCATCTCCCAGCCCGAAGCCCCTTGCAGGGGCACCTGTCTCCAGTCAGCTAATCCTTCCTGTCTCGGTCTCTCTGAGGATATTGATGGCTTGGAGGTGGTGGGCAAAGGTCAGCCTTTCTCAGTTGTAACAGTGGAAGACTATTCAGTGTCCGAAAGGAACCAGGAAAACTCCTCTGAAGACTCACTGTGCCTGTGAGTCGGGTCTGGCCCTAGAGAAGGTTGGGGGGGCTCCCCCAGCACCCACATGGATTCAGAGGCAGGCTCCCGCCCCCCAGCGTCTCTCTAGTGGCTGCCACCCCTTCCTCTTGTCCATTCCAGAACCTGTGCCAGCTTTTCTGTTGCCACCTGCTTCTTTCCAGCAACTAACTGCTAATGGGGATTTGCTAGACATAGTTTTGCTGATGAATGACTCGCCTCGCCCACTGCTGTGGGCCCTGAGTGGCTTTGCTGAAGAGTCTCTGTGTTTCTAAGAACCTCCCACCTGCAGGAGCGACTCAGGATGGAGCTGAGCTGGAGTGAGCCGATGATGCTCCATTGAGGGGGCAGAGCTAGTGACCCCTCCACTAGTCCCAGAGTTCCTGGCAGCCATGCCAAGGCCAGGGCTCTGTGGGGCAGGACTCTGGCTGCCTCGAGGACAATAGTCGCTCTTTTTTCTTACAGAGACTTAATGGCCAGTTACCCCGATGTGGTGCCCATGCCTATTCTTGGCCCTTCTCTGCTGTTCTGTGGGAAGCCTGCTTGCTGGATCAGAGGCTGTAACCCAGAGGACAAGGTACGATGCCTGCACCCTCGCCAACCTGCTGGAAGGGCTTCCCTCGTGGTGCAGTCACGAGGGGCCTCCGCCGTCTCCTGTTTGCACTTTTATCTGGTCATGCTTCCAGCGTGTCTTGGGGAATGAGAACAGCAGTGCTAACTTAAGCCAAAATAGAGTCACAAGGCAGAAAAGAGATGTCACAAGCCACCCAGTGTGTCTCGGCCCCCGGCCCTCCCCCAGCATGGGAATAAAGCTGCTAAAATGGGTACAGCTTTGAGAAGGTTCTAAACTATTCTTCAGATGCAAAGGAGCAGTAATGTCTGCTCGCTGTAAGATGCCTGTAGTTTCTGTTGTTTCCTCCCCTTCCTGTGGACGGCAGCCTCAGAGGCAGCCACTCCGAGGTAGTACAGTGCCATTGTCTGACAGCGGCTGGGCAGCAGCCGGCCAGGCCCAGAAAAGTCCCCAGCAAATCAGGATGATGTGATCACCATCAGCTAGGGCCTCCCTCAAAGACATATCTGATACCTCCTCCTTCCCTAGAAACATGTCGGAATTGCTGTCCGCTTGACCTTTGAAACTCTAGAAGGGGAGAAAACATCTTCGGAACTGACTGTGGTCAATAATGGCACGGTGGCCATTTGGTATGACTGGCGGCGGCAGGCCCAGGTGGACTCTTTCCAGGACATGAAGAGAAACAGGATGCAGAGGTTTTACTTTGACAATCGGGGAGGTACTTTCTCCCTGACTTCTGCCTTGATGTCTGTGAGAAGCCAAAGTCAAGTTAATGCCCAGCCCCTGCAAGGGCCCCACCTGGTCCTCCCATTTGTTCTGTGAAGTGTGTCATCTCTTAACTGTTCATATCTGAACCCTTGAGAACACTGGGGTTCAGTCACCTAGATGCACAGGTCTGGGCTAGGGAACCCAGCTATCCCCATTTGTCTGGGACTTTCCCATTTCAGCCCTGAAAGTCCCACGAAACCCCAATTCTGGGCAAACCAGGACAGCTGGTCACCCTCCCTGGGGCTCATTTAACCATGGTACGCGCAGGGGCGGGCTCAGTGATACCTGCAGACTTGGGGCTCAGCGAGTTCCCGCTTCTGGATAACCTCTGTCTCTCCCTCAGGTGTGATTCTCCCTGGAGAAACCAAAACATTTACCTTCTTCTTCAAGTCTTCGGATGTTGGAATCTTCAGGGAGTCTTGGGAGTTTGGAACGCACCCCACCCTGCTGGGAGGCGCTGTCCTGCAGGTCAATCTCCATGCGGTCTCCCTGACCCAGGATATGTTTAGGGATGAGAGGAAGTCGCTGCAGGTGAGGCGGGCTCTGGGTCCCTGTGGACATGAGAGGTTGACCTGGCATCCTCTTTTGCGCTGCCTGCAGGATCTTGTTTTTCCCCTGCCAAGGTGGACTTTCCACACACTGACAGCTGCCGTTCCCCTTTCACAGACACTCCCTGGGCTCTGTGATGTAAAGGTGGGGGGTAGGCAAAAGGAGGACAGCTTTCAGCTCACCCCCGGGGCCTCGGCGACCTCACGTGCAGACCAGCTGACGTTGCTTATTCAAGCACAGACAGGGCGTGGCCCAGCCCCCGTCCTGTGTCCACTGCTGTCTGGGTCTGTCCACCTGACTGGCATTTTCTTTGCAAGACTTCAGAGCCAGAAAGAAGGATTTAGCTAGTGGGGCCAGCGCCCTGGCGTGAGTGCGAGGGGGGAGGGGGAGCCGCTCACCCCTGGTCTGTTTCGTAGGTGATCAGTGGGTGCCTCGCTTCCTGGGATTCTGAGCAGAGCTTCCCTTTATTTATTGTGAGCCCCAAACACAAACCAGCTGCTTCAGCTACAGGGCTCAGCCTGTGGGGATCAGAGGTTGTTTGATGGACATCGTGTCTGGTGACTGCTGACCGAGGGGCTGGCCTCCGCTGGAATGTCCCTCACTGCTTCTGTGGCACCAACCTTGTGGCTCCGAGCCGTGTGGCCCTGCCTCTTTCCTGACTTCCTAACCTGGGAAATGCGACTGTGTGGCCTCCTGACCAACGCAGGAGCAGCGTCACTGGGCACTGCAGCCTCTTGTAGGGGACAGGAGAGGCTGTTCGGAGACACCCAGGTGGACCCCGGATGTGTGTATGTGAGAGAGAGAGACAGAGACGGGCCAGGGTTGGGGACAGGAACGTGACCTGCCGCAGGAGGGCAGCAGGCCCCCACGGATCTGGCTCCTTCTGGAGGCAGCGCGGGTCTGAAAGCCTGGGCTGCCCTCCATGTCCCTTCCCTTCCCCAGAAGAAACTGGCCGCCCACGAAGCGGCCACCGTGGTGAAGAGCATGCTGCAGGAGCTGCTGCGCGGCATCCTGACCCCCGAGCGCGCGCAGTCTCCTGCGGACGCCTACCTCACCGAGGAGGACTTGTTCCACCACAGGAACCCACAGGTAAGGCCCAGGGCCCCTCCGCACGAGAGTGCATGAGGTGGCGGCCAGCCCCCCTGTGCCGGGGCCTGCTCCGTCTTCCCTGCGTAACTCACTTTCTCCTCACAGCAGCCCTATGAGGTGGCTCCCATTTAAAGCCCCATTTTACATCGAGGGAAATGAGGCCCAGAGAAGCTAAGTGAGTTGGCCAAGATCCCTTAGCTAGCACACGGACGCTTGGAGCATCACAGAGCTCCTTCACTGCAACCCACTCTTCCTCAGAGGCCCTCATGCAAAAAAGAGCTTTTAAGTTGGAAACGTTCAGGTTGAAAGGGCAATGGGAGCGACCTCTCTGGCCACAGCTCGTCCTGCTGGCGTCCTCCCTGTCTCCTCTGCCAGTGCTCGAGGGAACAGGAGCTGGAGCAGGCTGGCTCCGGCTCTGGGTGCCCCCTGACGTGTCTTCCCGTGCCTCTGCTGCAGCTGCATTACCAGCACCAAGTGGTGAGAAGCCTGCACAGACTGTGGAGCCAGTACATGGCCCTGCCCGCCAAGACCGAGGAGGCCAGGCCGGGCGAGGAGGAGCACCTTGGGGCCTGGGGTGCCCATCCCCAGCCAGACTTTTCAGAGAAGTCCTCAGTAAATGCGGAGGCTCTGGGGCACTCCAGAAGCCCAGGCTTGGAATTCCAGCTGCCCCGGCAGGAGACTGAAGCCCTTAGGAGTTCCCAAAATGTCTTCGTGTCCCAGAAGCCCTTGCTGGCAGCCAAAATTTCTCAGCGGAAGAGCATCATGGAGGAGATCCTGGTGGAGGCGAGCCCAGATGCAGAGAGCATCAAGAGCTCCTGGGAGCTGGATGGCCTTCCCCCCACCCAGTGGAACCTCTGTCTGGAGGACTTCAGAAAGGTGCTTGCTCAGCCCTCAAGTGGAGAATGGCTCGGCTGGCCTGTCCAAAGCCAGGGAGGGCCCCAGCAGCCCGCTCGGCCCGTGGGCAGAGAAACAAATGTTTCTGCAGACCCAGCGCAAATAGTCTGGTGGGCCACGTCCTTTTCTCTTGGTGCCTAGGCCACTATGGAGTCGGAGGCCCAGACTCCCATAGAAACACCCTGGACAGCCTTCCGGGCTGCACTCCCTTCTGGTCACCTGCCTTCACCTCACCACGCCCATCCCTAGAGGGCCAGGGACCCTTGGTGTCCTGGGCAGAAAGCTTGCCCACAGCACCCATGGTCCTGCCAGGCAGTGATGTCCCTCCCTGAGGAGAACCAGAGAGAAGACACCCTGATCAGGCTCAACAGAGCAGCCCTGGAGCTGTGCCAGGACCAGAGGCCGCTGCAGTCCGACTTCCTGTACCAGATGTGGTAGGTGCGGCGCCTTCCCCCCAGGAGAGCTGGCCAGCCCCCCTGTGACTCCCCTCATGTTCCAGTTGCTGAAAGATGCTGCAGAGACCCCACGCATGCCCGGAGCCACCCCACAGCCGCCGACCACTCTTTGGCAAAAAGTCACAGCAGCATAAGCACTGGGTCTTTTTGTCCCCCTGTCCCTTTCCTTGTCCCTACTCAGTGAGCAGAGAATGATGGGAAGAGGGCATATTCCATGTTAGCCTCCCCCTCGCCTGTTTAGGGGTGTCCCAAGCTGGACACCTCTTGCAAAGTCCTGCCCTCCAGGGAGGTTGGGCCCAAGGCGAGCCCTAGCTTCCAGCTGGGTTAGACTCTCCCAGCCTTAGTTCCAGGCCACTTTTTCTGGACTGACACCCAAGGGGAACCAGTTCTGCATCTGGTGCTTTCCAGCATGCCAGTGAGGGTGCTGGCGGCACAGAGGCTCGGTGGGTCTCGAGGCCCTGCAGTTTCAAGGGCAAATGAAGAGTGGTGGCTTTTCTCCAATGTGTCTGGCCATCTAGTTTGCCACTGTGGTGGGATGTGATTGACAGCCTTGTGAGCCACTCCCTGTGGCTGAGGGCTCTGCTGGGCCTGCCCGAGAAGGAGACTATCTACTTGGACATACCAGATGAGCAAGGTCAGACATTGCGCACCTTACCTCCGCCTGCTCCCTGTCCCGAGCCCTTCAGACCCCAGTGGTGGGACCTTGTTAGGTTGAGCCCTCGGGGCAGACCCCTGCTGCTAGGACTCAGGACCCACAAGTAACCTCAGTGATCATGTTAGTTGAGCCCTCTTAGGCTGTAGGGGAACCCTAGAGAGGTGAAATGACTTATCTGTGTGTGTGTTGGGGCATGGCCCAGCTGGGGCTAAAAACCAGGTGTCTTCCCCTGTTCCACAAGGCCACGGGCCCGAGCAGGGCCCTGCGCGCTCAAGCTCTGCTGAGTGCTCTGTGGGAATTCTCCCAAAGCTTCTGAGGCCGGTGGCCCTCGGCTCAGGACCTCCTGCTTTCCCAACTGTCTTCTGTTCACCTCTCTTAGATCACAAGTCACCTCCTGTCATTGAAGTGAAGGTGACTTCTGGTCGAGTAGGGAAGGAAGACCGGAAAGGGACAACCCAGGAAAAGAGACAACTGGGCATCAGAGACAAAGACGATAAAAAAGGATCCAAGTTGCTAGGGAAAGAGGCATGCCAGGACGTGGGCTGGGCCTGGGTGGGGGCTGCAGAAGAGGGGTGGTCCCCCCAGCCTCGTGGCCAGCTTTCCCAGTCGCCGGCCACGTGTGTCTCTGTGTCTCTCAGCAGGAACGTTTAAATAGCAAGAAGCACAAGGCAAAGGATGACAAGAAACCAATGAAATCTTTAAGTCGGGACAGACTTTCCATGGAAGACCCCACCCCCGACAGCACCACCCCTTTCCAGGAGCCCATAGACCCCCTGGTCATGGAGAAATACACCCAGCGGCTGCACACTGAGGTGAGGCCAAGAACCCGCTGGCCTAGGGTGCCAGGCAGAACCCACAGAGAAGTCACGCAGCTCGTGTGTTAGGTGACGAGCACCATGGAAAAGAGGGCCTGGCGGTGGGGAGGCCTGAGGGGCCGGGTGGCCCCATCAAGAAGGTGGCTTTAAACAGAGACTAGAAGGGAGGTGAGCAGTGGCCAGTGGACATCTGAGAAGAGTGCCCTAGACTAACGCAAGGAGGGGAGTGGGCCACGAGGCAGAAGGGCCCCTGAGAGGGAGCAGGCCGCGCGGGACTCTGAGGTCATCGTGCGGACTCGGGGTTTTCTGAGAGGCGTCAGATAGGGAATGACTTATGCTTTCGACCCCTCTGGCTGCTGTCTGGAAAATAGATGTTGGGGGAAGAGCAGAAGCCACCCCTTGAGCGTTTCTGGTAGGTGTGTCTTGGCACATGTGTTTCTTGGGAGCACACCAAGTAGAGTGAACCTCCAGTGAGTCAAAGCGTTTGAAACGCCAGTGGGGACGTATTCATAAGCAGATGCTTTGTTCTTCCTTATTGCGGCTTGTTCTGGAGAGCAGATGCTCAAGGACTGGGGTGGCCGTAGTCTCCCACCCACTTGGTTTTGCACACTTGAGGTGTCAGGACGCCTGAAGCCGATGCTGGTCTCGGTGCGGCCAGCGGGCAGCTGGGCACGATGCCTGTGGTCGCTTCAGATCTCATTTGATCAGCGATCCTCTGGCTGCTGGTGACGTCTCCGATTTCTGAAGGTTGGCAGCATCTAGGGGGTAAACCATGGCTGTCTGAATTAAGAATCAGCTTGCCGAGGCTTGTGTGCTCCGGCCCGGGGAGGACGCAGTCCCAGACGTTGGGGATGATGATGGCGCAGGAAGGAGACTTGGGCTCCAGGCAGCCTAGGCAGAGTTGGACCTAAAGCGGCTTCTCGCTGGCCTCCTCGGAACTGCCTCTCCCCACTCGGGGGTCGAAATCCAACCTTATGGCCATTGCAGACTGGTTTGAAAAATAAGACTAGGCAAACGAAAGCTCTTGGGAAACTCCCCCCCCCTTTGGTGCACCCCTTCCCCAGCTGTCCTTCCCGGCGGTGTGTGGCCCCCTTCACCGCACAGCCGACTACGTAGGTACTTTTCCCAGAGGGAACCTGCTGTGAAGTGATGGTCATCTTGTTCTTCCAGGTCTACGGGCTGCTGGACACCCTGGTGACCGACCTGATGGTCCTGGCTGATGAGCTCAGCCCTGTGGCGAACGTGGAGGAGCCTTTGAATCTTTGCACCTGACTTGTCCCAAGCAGCCTTGTGGGAAACGGGTTGACAGAGCTCAATAAAGAGTGTTTGTGTTGCTGCCGCTTCCGTTACCTGTGTCTCCATGTTGGATGGCGATGAGGACACTCAGGGCCAGGTCGTCCCATGTCCCACCTGCCCTCTGAGTCCTCGCTCCCGGCCCCTGGAGCCGTCCCAACAGGATAGACGCCCGGGGAGGCGATGTGCGCGGCAGTGAGCAGCAAGCGATAGCAGGACCAGGAATGGGGCCGGTCACTACGGAGCGCCACCCCCGTCTCTGCTTCTGGCCTTCTTTGGCCCACACTTTTGGGGTCTTGCTTCCTGGAGCCAGATCTTCCTGGTGTCATCACCAAGTATGACAAAGTGTGGGACTAGGAGAACTAGAGCCATGAGGCCTGGCTCTCCCAAATCCCCCCGCTTCACGGGGCCCAAGGCCCTCCGAGTGGGGCTCACCACACTCTCAGACCCTAGCGGCCAGATCCTATTGTTCTGACCAGAGATGTTCAGTCTGGATTCTAGTGGACCTTGCTTCCTCCCCCGTCAATGCCATTTTTCTGCCTTCAGAACAGCCTCTGGGGTTTCTGTGCCCTCCCTCGCCTGAGAAACACCAAGTGGGCAAGGGATATCTCTTGGAAAGAAAAGTGCTGTCAGCTCAAACTTAGTGCCTTCCCTGCTTCCCGTCAGGAATCATCATTCCGGCCAAGCTGAGTTAGAAAAACTGCTTTGCGATATTGGTGGGCTCATCGCCTTACACTGATGGAGCAGAGGGGTGTGAGGGTGGGTGTGGGGGGGCGTAAGTGGGGGGGGCACACTCTCTTACCCACTTGGTTTTGCACTTGGTGTATTGACAGGAATGCCTGGGGCCCCAAGCATCCTCCAGTTGTGAACTGGGAGAAGGTTTGGAGGAGGTGGGGGAGAGGCCCGGGCCAGGAGCCCCATGCTCTGGGGGGCCTGAGCTGGCAGTAAGCACCCTAGCCCTGCCCCAGGGAATAGTCCTTCTGGCCCGGGAGGACGGGTGGGAGAGGTGGGTGTTGGAGCCCCCTGCCCCATTTCTGCGGAAGAGGCAGGGGGCAGTGAACTCACTGCAGGGTGGGGGTGGGCTGCCAGCCCGGGCATACCTCTGGGACAGCCAGCCCGCAGGCCTCCCACCTCTGAAGGTGCGCTGCTGGGCCAGCAGGAAGGGGTTAATGTGCTGCGCGCGTCCTCCTGTGTCCTGTTACTGCTGAGGCAGACCTGCCCGGCCAGCTGAACAACTTTCCTCTGGAGTGCTGCCTGCCTGCCGCCGGAGTCAAGAAGCCACGGCCCACAGGCAGCTCTGCGGACCATCGAGGGACCCTGCCGCCACCTGGGAGAGGGTGGGTCTGCACCTCCTGGGAGAGGGTGGGTCTCCAGACGAGGCTCCCGGTGGATGGCTCTGGGGCTGCTCCGAGGCCGTGCTGCCCCCCCACCTGGCCGGTCGGAGGGTCACTGCAGAGGCTGCTCGTGGTCCCAGGGCTGGGGCCCAGGGAGCCTGCTCCGGAGGTAAGTTGGCCCCTCCCTGGCAACAGTGGTACCCATGGAAGGCTTGCCCCCCCCCACCTCCCTGGGGGCTTCTAGGAGAGGGGTGAGGAGGCTGTGCTAAGAGTAGCCTGAGGCTTTTTCCAGCCATGCCTCCCTCCCTGCAGCCCCCTGGAAGGGGAGGTGGGTTGAGGACTCACCCCCCAAGCTGAGACTCGCACCTTTGGTGGCATTCCCCAGACTGGCTCCTTACCCCTCCTCTGCCCCTGACACCTCTACCCTGAGGGCAACCCCCACCCCACACCGTACCCTCAAGTGTTAGGTCACCTCCCCCTCCTGTGCAGGACCGGCTGGGGGGCCAGGGGCTGGAGCCCACCGGAGGGCGGGATAGGAAGAGGTGAGGGCTGGTGGGGGTGGGGGCGCAAGCGGACTTTGGGGCTGACTCCTCCACGTGACTTGACATCAGGGTTCTCCCGGTATCCCTGAACTGACAGTTCCCCCAGTCCTGGGGGCCCTGAAAAGGCAGCCCCTCCCCCTGTAAAGTTCCCCTGGAAGCTCGAAGTAAGGGAGAGGATTGCAAGGGAGAGGATAGCGAGCCCCGCAGCCCCACCCCTGCGGCCCTTCCCCACCCTCACCCCGCCTGCCCCTCCCTCGCTGTCCTCCCCTCCGCCTCCCCCCTCCGACTTGGCCTCTGGGGCCCTGCCTCTCAGCGTCCTTCCCTCCACCTGACAGGGTCTGGCTCAAGGTCACTGCAGTAATTCCATACCCGCTGCTGGGCGGCCGCTGCCGGCCGCTACCGCCTTATCGGCCGCTGGGTTTCTGTTTCACTCCCTTTTATTTCTGGGCATATTGTGTTCGATAAAACCCTTTGCTTGTAACACTGCTGGCAGCTCTCCCAGACGCTCCCTCCTGCGTTCCTTCCTTCCCTCCTCCCTCCCCTCTGTGATCCTGTCTCACCCTGCCCCCCTTCCTCCCTACCTTGTCCCCTCAAACTTCAGGGGAGGGCTGGGTGGGCCAGCACCTCCCCGGTGTTTCTGACTTCTCCCTTCCTGCTCAGCACGGCCAGGTGTGCTGAGGTCGCTCCTCAGGACCACCCGAGGGGGACAGCCTGGGGTGGAGGGGGACAGCTGGACCGGACCTGGCGGCCAGGGCCACTCTGAGGGCCCCTCCCGCTACCAGAGGCCTGGTGGCCGGAGGCCTGGGCTGCCAGGCGAGGTTGGGCTCCAGGTGGAGCCAGGATGCCAGACTGGTTCTGCTGGTTTAGTGGCCAGCTCTGGGAGGGGTGTGCACAGGGGCGGGCTTCAGCGCACAATTATTTCTCATCTTGACTCCTGCTACCCGCCAGCCCACCAGTTTGGGTAAAGATGGGTCTGAGTCACTGGTGAGGGGGAGGGCAGGAGCTAAACAAGGGCTGGCCGCCCCACAGAAGGCCTGCCACCACCGTGGGACAGGGAGGCAGCCGCCAGGCAGCAGGTAGGTAGCGCTTTCAGCCAGCGCTTCCATCTTGGGGGGGCTTCCCCAGGCACCCGGGCTCCCTGAAGACTGCCAAGGCCTGCAGGCCTCTTGGAAGTGAGTTCAGGACTGGTGGGCTGGGGTGGAGGGAGTATGCGGTGGGCGTGTGTGTGTGTGTGTGTGTGTGTGTGTGTGTGTGTGTGTGTGTGTGTG